AAAAATTTACCTTATTTTTATCGCTTATGCCACATGAAAGTTTTTTTATGTAAAAATGTGTAATTAACACACCGTACTAGCATAGGTTAGAAAAAAAAAAAACCCCGAATGACAACGATCTAGCTTGGTAGTGTATATTAAAGCAAAGTAAATGAGTGCAGTTGCTTCAACACAACCTTTTATTCTGCTCGCCAGCCTTTAAATCTGTCTCCATGACTTATCAAGGAGTATTCAAGGTTAAAAGCAGCCCATCCCTTTGTTCTTCTCTTGGCTTCATTAGCTTGTTGTATTACTTGCTCATTAGATTCCCAAAAGGCATCCCAAGGCTCTTACTCCTCCCACTCATCATCTATCTCTTCTACCTTATTCCTTGGTATTCCTCCTCCAGCTTACTCAGGGGAGTTTCTTCTTTCTTCCTCACTTGGGTTGCTTCCTTCAAGCTACTACTCTTTTGTTTCGACCAAGGTCCTCTTGCGAACTGCAAAAGCTACCTCGATTTCGTACTAGTCTCCATTTTCCCCTTAAAAATCAAAGAAAACCAAACCCCTTCTAACATTCAATTCATGTCTCTGTATGAATCTGTTTCCCTGTTCAACAAGCCATACCTAGCTACCTCTTTGCAAGACTTTTGGGGTAGGAGGTGGAACCGCTACTCCTCAAACATCTTGAGGATGACCATTTATGATCCCACCCGGAAAACCTTGAGAGGGATCGTAGGCATCCAGTCGGCCAAGGTGATAGCTTTGATACTCACCCTAGTGGTGTCCGGTATCATGCACGAGATGCTTTTCTACTACATCACTTGTGCGAAGAAACCCACCTGGGAGGTCACTTGGTTCTTTGTGTTGCAAGGACTATGCATGGCCCTCGAGGTTGTGCTGAAGAAACTAGCTCGAGCCAATGGCTGGACCCAGGTTCACCCTGCTGTTTCACGCAGCTTGACATGCGGATTTGTGGTGGCTACTTTTTACGGTTTGCTGGTGTTGCCTGTATGGAGAAATGGTCAAAATGATTGTGGCTTTAGATGAATCAATTCAATGACATTCAGGTAAAAGCTTGAATATGAAGTTGCGAAATATATTCCTCGCACCTCGTTACAGTTTTTTTTTTTTTT